ACTGCCACTACTTAGTCACTGTCACTATATAGACACTGCCATTACATAAACACTGCCACTGCTTAGTCACTGTCACTATATAGACACTGCCATTACATAAACACTGCCACTACGTAGTCACTGTCACTATATAGACACTGCCATTACATAAACACTGCCACTACTTAGTCACTGTCACTATATAGACACTGCCATTACATAAACACTGCCACTACGTAGTCACTGTCACTATATAGACACTGCAATTACATAAACACTGCCACTGCTTAGTCACTGTCACTATATAGACACTGCCATTACATAAACACTGCCACTACTTAGTCACTGTCACTATATAGACACTGCGATTACATAAACACTGCCACTACTTAGTCACTGTCACTATATAGACACTGCCATTACATAAACACTGCCACTACTTAGTCACTGTCACTATATAGACACTGCCATTACATAAACACTGCCACTACGTTGGCACTGTCACTATATAGACACTGCCATTACATAAACACTGCCACTACTTAGCCACTGTCACTATATAGACACTGCCATTACATAAACACTGCCACTGCTTAGTCACTGTCACTATATAGACACTGCCATTACATAAACACTGCCACTACTTAGTCACTGTCACTATATAGACACTGCCATTACATAAACACTGCCACTACGTTGGCACTGTCACTATATAGACACTGCCATTACATAAACACTGCCACTACTTAGCCACTGTCACTATATAGACACTGCCATTACATAAACACTGCCACTGCTTAGTCACTGTCACTATATAGACACTGCCATTACATAAACACTGCCACTACTTAGTCACTGTCACTATATAGACACTGCCATTACATAAACACTGCCACTACTTAGTCACTGTCACTTTATAGACACTGCCATTACATAAACACTGCCACTACTTAGTAACTGTCACTATATAGACACTGCCATTACATAAACACTGCCACTACGTAGTCGCTATATAGACACTGCAATTACATAAACACTGCCACTACTTAGTCACTGTCACTATATAGACACTGCCATTACATAAACACTGCCACTACTTAGTCACTGTCACTATATAGACACTGCCATTACATAAACACTGCCACTACTTAGTCACTATCACTATATAGACAATGCCATTACATAAACACTGCCACTACGTAGTCACTGTCACTATATAGACACTGCCATTACATAAACACTGCCACTACTTAGTCACTGTCACTATATAGACACTCCCATTACATAAACACTGCCACTACTTAGTCACTATCACTATATAGACAATGCCATTACATAAACACTGCCACTACGTAGTCACTATATAGACACTGCCATTACATAAACACTGCCAATGCAGGGGAACCCCGCTATAACGCGATGACCAGGGTCCATAAAATCGGATCGCGTTAAAAGCGGGGTTGCGTTAATGCGCGGTCTTACACTATTGAACATTTTTTTTCCGGGAGCCATGCTTCGGCCGCGTTATATCCGAATTCGCGTTATAGCGGGGCGCGTTATGGCGGGGTTCCACTGCACGTAGTCAATGTCACTATATAGACAATGTCTTTACATAAACACTGCCACTACTTAGACACTGTCACTATATATACACTGTCTTTACATAAACACTGCCACTATGTTGGCACTGTCATGACATAAGCACTGCCACTACGTTGGCACTGTCACTATATAGACAATGTCTTTACATAAACACTGCCACTACTTAGACACTGTCACTATATATACACTGTCTTTACATAAACACTGCCACTATGTTGGCACTGTCATGACATAAGCACTGCCACTACGTTGGCACTGTCACTATATAGACACTGTCTTTACATAAACACTGCCACTACTTAGACACTGTCACTATATATACACTGTCTTTACATAAACACTGCCACTATGTTGGCACTGTCATGACATAAGCACTGCCACTACGTAGGCACTGTCACTATATAGAAACAGTCCCAGAATAGACACACGTTTTACGCCATTAGTTACCCGAAAAGCCGCAGCCTCATCTCCAGTATCCATCGCCCTGGCCATCATACCATCACGACATCGCCCTGGCCATCATACCATCACGACATCGCCCTGTCCATCATACCATCATGACATCGCCCTGGCCATCATACCATCATAGAATTGACTATTGTAATAAATCTACTAGGACAGACAAATTTAATTCAACAAGTTATGTGACAGTTCGCATTTTAATTCAATTGTTGAATGTTCATATTTGCAGTGAATGACATAATTTTTTATAGTATACAACCTGGGGGGGGGGCGGGTGATTTGACACGTTTATTTCAGCATGACATTGTGAAAGTTGACATTTGTCCATAAGGCATTAAGATCGTAAGGCACACATTTAAAATCCAATCAACCATTATTTTTACTTTCACAAATGAAAAGTGAATTAATAATACAATTATTATTGTTTTTTTTTTTTGTTTTTTAAATGAACATTCTAATTAGGAGATCCTGTGTTAGCGATGGATGGAAATTTACATAGCAAGGCAATTTTAGTTAAGAGATTATGTGTTAGCGATGGATGGAAATTTGCATAGAAAGGCAATTTTAGTTTAGAGATTATGTGTTAGCAATTGATGGTAATGTGCATAGCAAGGCAATTTTTGTTTAGAGATTATGTGTTAGCGATGGATGGAAATGTGCATATATATATAACAAGGAAATGTATGTTTCGAGATTTTGTGTCAATTATGGAAGGAGTTTGCATAGATTCCTCACAAGACAGAAACTAAGAATGCTTGAAAAATACGTATTCGCTGGGGAATGGACAATATTTTATTTACAGCATGGCATTTGGAATAGCAGCTTGGAATAGCTGCTTGGAATGGCTACTTGGAATAGCTGCTTAGAGTAGCTGCTTGGAATGACTGCTTGGAATGACTGCTTGGAATAGCTGATAGGGATAGCTGCTTGGAGTAGCTGCTTGGAATAGCTGCTTAGAGTAGCTGCTTGGAATGGCTGCTTGGGATAGCTGATAGGGATAGCTGCTTGCAGTAGCTGCTTGGAATAGCTGCTTGGATTAGCTGCTTGGAATGGATGTTTTGAATAGCTGCTTAGAGGAGCTGCTTGGAATAGCTGATAGGGATAGCTGCTTGGAGTAGCTGCTTGGAATAGCTGCTTAGAGTAGCTGCTTGGAATGGCTGCTTGGAATAGCTGCTTAGAGTAGCTGCTTGGAATGGCTGCTTGGAATAGCTGCTTGATTAGCTGCTTGGAATGGATGTTTGGAATAGCTGCTTAGAGTAGAAGCTAGGAATGGCTGCTTGGAATAGCTGCTAGGGATAGCTGCTTGGAATGGCTCCTTGGAATAGCTGCTTGGAATAGCTGCTTGGATTAGCTGCTTGGAATGGATGTTTGGAAAGCTGCTTAGAGTAGCAGCTTGGAATGGCTGCTTGGAATAGCTGCTAGGGAAAGCTGCTTGGAGTAGCGGCTTGGAATAGCTGCTTAGAGTAGCTGCTTGGAATGGCTGCTTGGAATAGCTGATAGGGATAGCTGCTTGGAGTAGCTACTTGGAATAGCTGCTTGGATTAGCTGCTTGGAATAGCTGATAGGGATAGCTGCTTGGAGTAGCTACTTGGAATAGCTGCTTGGAATAGCTGATAGGGATAACTGCTTGGAGTAGCTACTTGGAATAGCTGCTTGGATTAGCTGCTTGGAATAGCTGATAGGGATAGCTGCTTGGAGTAGCTACTTGGAATAGCTGCTTGGAATAGCTGCCGGTTGTTGCCTTTATTCCATGCACTCTGACAACATGTGATACTGATTTTTAAAAAAAAATGAACAGCAGTTAACAACCTGTGTATAAAATCAAGTACAACATGGACGGCTAGTACATGTCACCCTTACACGTCTGAACAACGTGATCAAAGTTGGCACAGACGGTGTTAGATTTGTTCAATGTTTCTCCTAGCGTCTGGGGGCGTTTAAACGAACATTGTTTAACTGAATGTTTTAATTGCGTGAGCTCTATGTTATACATTTGATTCTATGAGATGGTCAGGAAAAGACTGACCACAGCGATGACTGACTGCTGATCCCAGAAGAAGCCAGGCATGGATACGTTAAGAATACTCAGTTATAAAATACAAACAATTTAAATGGATATTATCCAGCATCCACTTCAGGTAAATTTGCCTCTACACCTCGAGTTCTTTTTCATACACTTTCTTGAATTGTAAAAAACTATCATCGATAAATTCAAACATTTACAATTGATTTCCCAATACTTTTAACCACGCACACAATTTAAGAAAAAAAATCTTATTAAAGATATGTGACGTCATTAAAACCAATAGTTTCTATTTGATCGAAAATGTCAGACTTTTGCTACACATCTTTGAGGATGTTGGGTAGGCAAAGGTGGGGGGGTGTCAACGTAAAAAAAAATAGAATCATTTTTTTAAAGGGTTTTTAAAGTCCAGTTTCATTTTTTGAGCACCGATTGTATCACCACATCCAGCACTCACGGGGACATCTTGCTAGTACTATAATTCTCCTTGTCGTTAAAGAAGGTATCAGTTGTACGTTAATGTGATGTTGATACTTCGGTTCCTGTACGCCTGCTGGGCTGGGGTTTGGAACATCTCGTTACAGTAGTAGCCGTACGGGGAAGTCAGGCTGCTACTTCCGGGTGGGAAGCTGGACAAACATGGATCGCTGCTCATCGAGAACGGCGTCAAGGGAGATTCTTGGTGCGTAGATAACGGCGCGTAGCCAGTCGGCAGACTATTCACCCTTGTGGGATTTCCCGAAAAAGTGAGTGTTTCGTTAGTGGTCGCATTGAGTCGGTGCGGCACTGCCGCCGGCGAACGTCTCGTCTGCGAGGAAAGGTCTCTGTGGGAGGATTGGCGTTGTGGTATAGGCACGCTCGTCAGGGGCGGGGTGGTCACGTTGTCCACCCTGGTGGGCTGGGTCGGGGGAGGGGGGTAGATGACGCTGTCCGGAGATGACGTCATGATGTTGGGAGACCTCGTCACGTGACTCAGCCTGCACGAGTTGAACTCCCTCTGACCTTGGCCTTCGTCCACGCGGCGCTGAGGTGACGTCAGGGTGATGTACGTGGGCTCCTGGTGGCTCTGCTCTTTGCTGTAATCGTCTGCTGGTGAGCCATACTTGGCCAGGCAGTCCGCCTGGCGCGGTGACGCATCTTGATGGTGGAAGGCTGGTGATATCGCCTGGTAAATGTCCTTGTGGTAGTCCTGCGCGTGCAAGGACTGTGGTGAGGGTGAGGAAGTGGCAAGAAACGTATTTTCTGACGGCTCAGATTTAATGGGGCGTCCGTGGAAATCAGACCTGGCATCAGAACTTGGACTTTTGCTGTAATTTTGGACACCACTCTGCCGGTACCTCGCGAGACTGTCTCTTTCGTAACCGCTGGCGAAGTTTAGTGGGTACGCGTTGAATGGCCGAGGCGAACAGCTCATGGTATGAGCAAGCGGTGGGTTCGAGCCCACCATTTGAGATGGTCTGTACTCGCCAGCAGGGCTTCTGTTCACAGCCTGGCCACTACACGCGTCATCTTTCCCGCCAAAACTGAACATCTTGAGGTCGTTGTCATGGCAATGGGCGTGGTACGCGAACTTGGAGCAATTCTTGTAGACGTCATAGCCCGGGATACTGACGTCGTAGCCAGGGATACTGACGTCAAGCGAGGCTGGGGGGAGGCAGGTGTTGGTGATGTTGATCTGGGTAAACGGGGTGGGGGGCATAGTCTCAAGTCCAAGGCCCCCGCTCGGGGGCGTGCGGTGGGTCAGAAATGGGTGGGGAGGGGAATCTTTGCGAATACCAAACGACGAGTGCATCATGGGATTGTGGGGCGAGGACTTCGGGCAGACGCATTCGAAGGGCGGACATGAGCACATGACGTCATCTAGATGAAAGAGAGAAACGAAAATCATCGTTAGCATAAGCCAGACTTTGGTGAAAATGTTGATGTGGATGTTAATGTGGATGATGATGTGAATGTTGATATATGTTGATATATAGTCAAGTTGTTATACGACCAAGTCAAATTGTTATACGACCACGTCAAATTGTTATACGACGAAGTCAAGTTGTTATACGACCAATTCAAATTGTTATACGACCACGTTACGTTGCTGTACGAGCAAGTCAAGTTGTTATACGACCACGTCAAATTGTTATACGACGAAGTCAAGTTGTTATACGACCAAGTCAAGTCTTTATATGGCCAAGTCAAGTTGTTATACGACAAAGTCAAGTTGTTTTATGATCAAGTCAAGTTATAATACGACAAGTAAAGTTGTTATACGAACCAAATCAAGTCTTTATACGACCAAGTCAAGTTGTTATACGACACAGTGAAGTTGTTATAAGACCAAGTCATGTCGTTATATGACCAAGACAAGGTGTCATACGCCCAAGTCAAGTTGTTATACGACCAAGTCAAATCGTTATACGACCAAGTCAAGTTTTTATAAAACCAAGTCAAGTCGTTATACGACCCAGCCAAGTTGTTATACGACCAAGACAAGTTGTCATATGCCCAAGTCAAGTTGATATAACGACCAAGTCAAGTTGCCGGATAATTTGATGATCACCAATATGCGTCATTGCACACGGGGACAGTAAACGGTGTCATTGTGAACTCATTAAAAACAATTATTCTTTACAAGAAATCAATAATTGTATGTGGCCAGCTGGATTCCCCCCCCCCTCTCTCTCTCCCTTTCTCTCTCTCTCTCCCTCACGTACTCGTTCCTTTTGTTGCTCTGTGTCTATGCATCACTCACTGCTTCTCTTTCTGTCCATTTATCTAAATCTCTATTCCTCTATTGTCTGTGCAGCAGCAGTGAACAAGTGAAGCGGTGTTCACTAGAGAGTTTAATTGTCACAAAGATTAAATGATCATCTGGCTTTGGTTAGAGAGTTTAATTGTCACAAAGATTAAATGATCATCGGGCTTTGGTTAGAGAGTGTAAATGTCACAGAGATTGAATGATCATCTGGCTTTGGTTAGAGAGTTTAATTGTCACAGAGACTGAATGATCATCGGGCTTTGAATAGAGAGTTTAATTGTCACGCAGATTAAATGATCATCGAGCTTTGGATAGAGAGTTGAATTGTCACAGAGATTAAATGATCATCCGGCTGTAGCGGTCTTAACATGATGACAGCAGCCGGCGTGTGGCAGGTTTAGTCAGGCTGTCCATTAAATCACTGTGCACTGCACCGCTGCTGGAGCTGTCACGTGGTCTGTGCTCTACGCTGTACCAACTGATACATGACTCTGTTGTGTAAGTGGGACATAGGCTATACTTGACTGACCTACAGCCTACTGACTGGCATACACACCTCTGGGCTATAAACCGCAGACCGACTTTTCTAACACCTATAGCAAGATGACCTTCAAGAACCGCTCGTAACCATGTTACTGACCTTGAGATGGAATAAACATCTTCCGGTCTGGTATGTCATCAGTGGTCAGAATCGGGAATCTCCGTTTGAGTGACATCGGCAGCAGACGACTCTGAAATACACAGATATGGACACGTGTGATGTTTCATTTCATGTGACGTCATTAATAAGGGATACAATCATTGAAAAGTGCTCTATCTTATATGAGTTCAACCTATGGGCATGGGTCACATGTCAACAATGCGACCATGACGTGTAACAATAAGCTTATTGTTTGTTTGTTTAACAGCGTTGACTTCGTGCGATCCATTTATCACGATTACAGACATGGAATTAATTTAATTTTAAAGAAAGAGTGTTTTTTTTTTGTTTTTTTTGACCATTAACAGTAATTCTTTATCTTGTTTCCATTGACAAAGAAGTTAAGTCATCCACTAGTTCGGCTCGAATTCGGAAGAGTTAGTCTCGCTTGTTGGCAAGAACATACGCAGCTCCAATATTTATTTCCTCTTCCATTTTGCTCTCAAGTTTTCCACATGCGCACTGAATGGTTAACAATTATTACGTCACAAATCAATGGGTACGTTCAAGTACAAAACTTACCCCACCTAGTCAGTGGCTGCGTTCAAGTACAAAACGTATCCCACTTAGTCAGTGGGTGCATTCAAGTACAAAACTTATCCCACTTAGTCAATGGGTGAGTTCAAGTAATAAACTTATCCCCACTTAGTCAGTGGGTGCGTTCGAGTACAAAAACTTACCCCCTCTTGTTTCAGCTGTTTTGAGAAGGCGTGCCGCCCCTTCTCCGAGAGGGATTTCACCTCCGGCCTGGGGTGATCGTGATATCCTTTGGCCTGGAAGTACACGGAGCCATTCACGTGGCGCCAGAAGTGGGTCACAGGGTAACCACAATGACCTCGGCACGACAGGAGGTCAAGTTTCCCAGAGCACCCCGGGTTAGGACATGGCTTGCCTGGGAATGAAAAGACCGGATCTCGATGAAATAACAGTCGGACAATTGACATGGAAAAAAATGACGTGGTTTGTATTTAGATGAACCACTGGACTGGAAGATGTGAGCAATGCCTTAGGCAAACATGACATGACAATGAGAGCTATTTGTATGCATGGTTATTGGCTTCCAAAATCACATATCAGCTTTTGGCGTACATATCAACTTTTGTCTTACATATCAACTTTTGGCTTACGTATCAACTTTTGGTTTACATATCAACTTTTCACTTCCATATCAATTTTGGCTTACGTATCAACTTTTGGTTTACATATCAACTCTTCACTTACATAGCAACTTTTGGCTTACACATCAACTTTTGGTTTACTTATCAACTTTTGGTTTACAAAGCAATGGTTCATTTACATATCAACTTTTGGCTGATCGGTCGTTTTGGCAACTGGAATTTTAAGAACTCGAAATCATCTGGTTGTGCAAAAAATAAATAACAGAAAAGGCCAAAAGATGTTCCCCACACTGACCCATTTGTTTCCTTCTCGCCTTGTCACAAATGGCCGGCCGGAGGTGGACCTTCCTGCCGGAGTCCAGCAGACAGTCCATGGAGCAGACGAGGACGCCGAGGCAAGACTTCTTGAGGATGAGGGCGTTGTGGTTGTTGGTGTTCCTCATGGCCCAGCCGCTGACGTGTCGCCTGGCGTCGTCGCTGTCCCCGCGGTACACCCTCCTGCAGTGACCACTCGGCCACAGCTCGAACGTCTCGTGAACCTCTGGCTGTTGGAGAGAGAAAAGATATGAGAGGTTGTCAATGTCTTCTGGCTACTCCAACAACAGCCACGCCGGCAACAAGCTATAGCATGTTATATGACTATATATATATATATATATAT